TTCACAACCTTCAAACGCGTCCTAAACAAGAACATGTGGTAATTTAGGATACCCTCAAGCATGGAATGAATTAAGATGACCCCACCCCATCTAAACAAAAAGGTTTGTTTCCACCCATCAAGCCTTTTGATTATCTTATGAATCACTGGTTCACAAAAATGAAATGTTTTAAAATTTCCCCCTGAGGGCAAACCCAAGCACTTTAGGGATATCCGAAACACAGTAACCTAAAGTATTAGCCACCCTAACAACCTTTCTTGTTGCACAATAATTCCCGCAATTGGACTCTTTGATTAGTTCACTTTAAGGCCCGTTTCAAGACATTTTAAAACAAATGCCATTGAGTAAATATTCTTTTCATCTCTATCACAAAAGAAAATGGTATCATCTGCGAATTATAAATGGGGTAATCTATACTCTTTCTCAACCTCAATCACTTCTGTACTACTAGCTTTATCCATCATTCTACACAAAAAATCATCCATGTCTGTGAATGAAAAGGGGGAGAGGGGATTTCCTTACCTAAGGCCTCTAGTAGTTGTAAAGCAACCTTACCATGCTCCATTATTTATGACTGGGAATTTCATTCACCTAAGGCGTCCCATATTTTACTTCCTCGATCTCAATCCAAAGTCTTTCCTATCCATGACATACTTCAAAAAATCTCAATCCAATATTATCATAAGTTTTTTCAAAATAAGCTTTGAACACAAAACCTTCCTTTTCTTCTCCCCAAGCTCTTCAACGTTCTCATTTGCCTTTTTGGGATTCAATAGTTAAAAGAATAAACAAAAGATTGGATGGTTGGAAGACAAAATATATTTCTCTTAGAAGAAGGATTACTTTGGTAAAAGCTTGTTTGTCTAGTATTCTCTTATGCTATTTGTCTATGTTAGAATTGTTATAGTAGTAGTTATAACAGTTGGATGAAAAATGATATGTGGGATCATTTAGTGGGTTGAGAGATAGTTTGCCAACCTATAGACAAAGAGGTATTGAAAATTGGTAATTTAGTGTCTCAAAACATTTTCATGGTAGGTAAATGGTTATGGAGGTTCCGTTAGAACCTAACTCCCTTTGGCATAAGATAATTAGTAATAAGTATAGCCTTTAGCGGATAGGTGGGATAGTTTTTTTTTTTAAGAGGGGAACTTGAACCCTTGATCTCAAGAAGGCAACACATTAATCTTGTATGTTTAGTCACAAAATTGCCAAATGAGTAGATTGTTAGAAAATTGATTGTAATTGGCAAATATGTCACTTTATTTTATATCTCAACTAAATCCATGGTCAAGATGTTTGTGAAGATTGAAGACCAAAGCAAAATGTGGTAAAAAAAACTCAAGCTACATTGTAACACGTGAAGACTTCTTGGATCCCACTAAGCTTAGGTGAGATAAAAAAATCTAGATACCTAGTTGCCTTAGAATGGTTTAACTTATGTGGTTAAAATGCATTTAAAGTAAGTGTATGAAAAATCTATAACATGACTCTCGTGTTTTTGAGAAACAAATTTTTGAACCTTTGAGGGTTCAAAACGTGTATAAAAGAATTATAAAACTATGATCATTCCCTGGACCNCTTATGTGGTTAAAATGCATTTAAAGTAAGTGTATGAAAAATCTATAACATGACTCTTGTTTTTGAGAAACAAATTTTTGAACCTTTGAGGGTTCAAAACGTGTATAAAAGAATTATAAAACTATGATCATTCCCTGGACCGCTCAAGATGTGTCAAAATTAGGTTTTCTTATTTGCCAATTGATGTAGAACGGAAAGGACTAGAAATCACAGAATAGAAAGAGAAGAATAAAGAAGAGGGGGTGGAAGGGGTTTACCTCATTCTCGCAAGGAATCAATAAAGAAACACATAAATTTTCTACGGAGAACCACTTTTTATTATATCACTCTTTCTAATTAAAAATAGTTGGGATTACACCATTAATTATAGGCCAAGTCCTCTACTAAAATAAAAACTATTTTCTTACTAAAATACTAAAAGAATTTCATAATCAAACTCTTAAATCCCTATCTTACTAAAACTCTATAACAATTTCCTAGTTAAACTCTAATTAATACTCCTAATCAAACAAATATTCCCTAACTAATAAAATAATACTAAAACAAATAATAAAATTCAATTTTTCAATTTAAACTCATCCAATCCCTTTTCGATCTCTATTAATTCTCCTCGACTAAAAAAAACTCTTCTCCAAAGAGTTGGAATGTCACGAGTACTCCAAAAAATTTGAAGAAGCTTGTGTTCCAAGAAAAAAGCATTGTAGATCTCCATAGTAGAAAATAATCCCTTTGTGCATTGCATTCATCACAGTCTTATGCACATACACTATTATAGGTGAAGGAAGCATAAAATCCAGTGGAGACAAAATGGCAACTCCATTTTTAGTGGCACCCTTTGAAACTCCTTTAACTTCTTCTGTAAGAAGATCTNTGCACATACACTATTATAGGTGAAGGAAGCATAAAATCCAGTGGAGACAAAATGGCAACTCTATTTTTAGTGGCACCCTTTGAAACTCCTTTAACTTCTTCTGTAAGAAGATCCTTTGAGATTAGTTTATCAAAAGCAATTGATGTATAATAGAGAGAACTTTTAGGCTCATCAACGGTATCTGATTTCAGCTCATCATTCAATTGAACTAGAACTTGCAGTTGTGGAGGAACTTCTTGGGGCAAAACTTGTTCAACTATTTGTTGATGATCAATGGATGAACAAGATGAATCAAAATCTACCTTGTTCGCAAGATTCTTATTTGGTAGCTTAACTCCAAACATGGCAGCCAACTTGTGTACACCTTCATGTATATATTCCATTGATGTGTGGAGTGAATCCATTGATGCTTAGAGCGAATCGAGCTTAGCATCACGGGCTTCAAGTTTGACAAGTAATTTAAAATTGATAACCATCTCAATTGAAGAAGTAACATGAAAAGTTGTAGAAAACTTTATGATCAATCTGTAATTTCTAAAAATTTTGAGGCAAAACTGTAATTTCAGNTTGATGCTTAGAGCGAATCGAGCTTAGCATCACGGGCTTCAAGTTTGACAAGTAATTTAAAATTGATAACCATCTCAATTGAAGAAGTAACATGAAAAGTTGTAGAAAATTTTATGATCAATCTGTAATTTCTAAAAATTTTGAGGCAAAACTGTAATTTCAGAAAATTATGGGACAAAACTATAATGTCAAAAACTTTTGGGGCCAAAGTATAATTTCAAAAACTTTTGGGGGCAAAAGTGTAATTTCAAAAACTCTAAGGAGTCAGATATATAATTTTAAAAGGCTTAGTGGTGTTTGTGTAATTCATAGATTTGGGTACTGATTTTTGTGTTATGGATTTTGTGTAGTGGGCAATGGCAATTTTTTTTGTTGGACTTAGTTTTGCTAAGTTTTTTGGAAAGGGACTAAAACTTAAAAATGACAGACGGAACTCAAAAAACACAACCACAATCAAGAATGATCGAAGTTGAACTCTAATACCAAACTGATGTAGAATAGGAAGGACTAGAAATCACAGAATAGAAAGAGAAAAAGAAAGAAGAGGAGGTGGAAGGGGTTTACCTCATCCTCGCAAGGAATCGGTGAAGAAACACATAAATTCTCCACGAAAAATCACTTTTTATTATATCACTCTTTCTAATTAAAAATAGTTGGGATTACACCATTATTTATAGTCAAGTCACCTATTAAAATAAAAACTACTTTTGTACTAAAATACTAAAAGAGTTTCATAATCAAACTCTCAAATCCCTATCTTACTAAAACTCTATAACAATTTCCCAGTTNTTTTGTACTAAAATACTAAAAGAGTTTCATAATCAAACTCTCAAATCCCTATCTTACCAAAACTCTATAACAATTTCCCNAAAATAAAAACTACTTTTGTACTAAAATACTAAAAGAGTTTCATAATCAAACTCTCAAATCCCTATCTTACTAAAACTCTATAACAATTTCCCAGTTAAACTCTAATTAATACTCCTAGTCAAACAAATATTCTCTAACTAATAAAATAATACTAAAACAAATAATAAAATTCAATTCTTCAATTTAAACTCATCCAATCCCTTTTCGATCTCTATTACCAATCCACTCTATTTTTCTCTACCAATAAACAAAGGATTTCTTTTTTAACTTAAGGGAGATAAATTAGGGTTAAGAAAAGCTTAGAGATGTTCAAGAGGCTTACCCTAGCACCCAAAAACAAAACCCAAACTCTAGCCGACCAATCTAGAGTTCTTAAGAGAAATTCATCAATAGTTTTGAGAGATCTTGTAGAACACTCAAAACCCATAAAGCAAGGATCAAAGGAGACGTCCAAGGATCAAAGGAGGATTCCAAGGGCGAATCGTGGAGCTCAATTCGTCACCTATTAAACCTAGTCGTCAAAAGCTTGCAATGAACATTCAAGTGAGAAAACGTCTAACCATGGTATTGGTTGAAAAATAAAACTTTTAAGGTTTGTAGTTTTCGTTTGTCTCTTGAATGAGTTACATACTTGCAATTTTTATTCCTACACATGCTCGATAAATTACTTGAGTGAATCCGATTTGCAATGTTAGCCTCTTATATTTTATTGAATTGGTGACTGAGATCAAGGGTGATAAGATGTGGATTATGCACGATTGCAATTGATTAAATTTGGATATTTTGCATAAATTCACTAATTGAAAATTTGAGTCAAAATGCTCGAGATGTTAATTGCATTAACTAATTGATTAATCATTAATCGAGTGTAATAGGTTTTAATTGGCCATTAATTCTGTGTTCGAGTGCATAAGACCTATTAACCCTCCTCTAGGTCAAGTATGTTTGTTTCGGCATATTGGGGTCGATCTCATTCTCACACTCTGTTTTTAAAAAATTAAGCATTTAATTTTAGAATTTATGAAAACCAATAGTTAAAAAATTTCCATGTCAATTTTACGGAATCTGATACTATTGGCCAACATGCAAAATCATCCAACTACAATGGTCGTTATCTACTCTTCAAATTGGACAACGAAACAACATAGAAACACAGCTAAAGCATTCATGCAATCAGTGATATCAAGGACCAATGCACATTCTTCTAACTACCATCATGGTTATCTATTCTTCAATTTTCAACAACGACGACAACCAAGAAATGCATCTTTATTGGTCAAGTTGTCAGTGACATTAGTGACCAATAATTAAACACACAACTCGATGGAGATAATGGTATAGAAAGCCAGTAAAATCAAAGTAAAAAAACTCAATTTAGTGACTACAATAAAACAAAATGTTCCACTGCACATCTAAAAATTTTTACCTGTTCTCGATTTCCGTTAGAATTTTTATCATTTTCAGCGAAATCAACACGCAATTGACGACCATTGATCTCGTATCCCTGAAGATTGCGACGAGCACTTAGCGCTGTTTCTTCATCCTTGTATTCACAAAATCCGTAACCTTTTGGTTTCCCCGTTTCTCTATCTATAACTAATCTGAATGAAAGCAAGCAACAATCAATCATGCAGTTGCTTAAGAAAATTTAACAATTAGAAAAACAAAATAGATTTATAAAAGGTAAAATATATCTGCTTCTAATTAACTCGAGAAGTTTTATTGACAACTATCTCTAACAGATCTTGTTGAACAATCAAGCATTTCCGACATGAATGAGGTCAAAGGAACTTAGCTTGTTCACAACTTAGTTGCTGTGAATTAACATCAATGGATCGGTTAGCACATTAGCTCTTAAGGTGTAGAACAAGAATTCTAGTCAAATCAAGAAGCAAATAACAAGTATAGGCCTCATTCCAATCAATACTCATATTACCTAGTGTAATGTAGGAAGACATGATCAAGTTTCATGATTTGCGCTGAACTTAGTTGAGCACAATACCTACTAGTAGCAAGCAATAGCCTCAGAGGTGTTGGGTCAATTATTAAGGCAGAACTCTCTTAACTGTTTCACAAGACTTGATCAATCAATGATTCTTTTTCTTGTACCCGTACAACTTAAAAGTATAGTGTAAGCATCATTTTAACAGGTAACTTCTGGGTACACAAACAGCTCAGTGACCAATTTATCCCATGATAGTAAAGTGCATACCAGCATAGTTACCCACATTGCAATTCACAATGGTATGCAGGAGCTTGCACTTGAGGGGTATGGAAGGAAGATTCTCTGCATGGGGTGTCACAACTGTCTGGAATCTTATCAAATTCAAGCAAATTGATACCATTTATAGCATCAGTTATTAGAGAGAAAAATATGTGTAATGAGTCACATAATTCATCTAAAATAGGTCATGGTCCATCGCTCCGTGCATGAATTTGTGATTTGAAAGCAAANGAATCTTATCAAATTCAAGCAAATTGATACCATTTATAGCATCAGTTATTAGAGAGAGAAATATGTGTAATGAGTCACATAATTCATCTAAAATAGGTCATGCTCCATTGCTCCGTGCATGAATTTGTGATTTGAAAGTTCGTGATAAATTCGCTCTCAATATATTGAAACCATGAATTCAAATTATAAATCCGCAAATTTAATTTTTGAACTCCAACCAGTCCCTGATCAGGGGAAAAAAACAAAAAAATAAACTAAGGCAAAAGGTTCCTTGTGGATGCACTAATAAAGTCAACTGGTGGTGGAAGGCCCTTTTTATAGCCTTGTCTAACTGCCCATATTTCCAATCTTTCTGATGTGGGACAAAGTTCTAAGCATAGAAATGCCTTCCAACTGTATTCTATTCAATCATTCACTCACACTATTATTTTGATTCAAAAGCCAAATTATTAGGACACAAAATTTAAATAATTTATCAAATATTTGTATGAAATTTAATTTTTTAAATTGTATTTTTACTAATTTTTATAAATGTAAACATGTATGTATGTATATATATGGCGCTCCTGCTCTAAGAATTATTGAATTTTGCCACTTTTGCGCTCCCACTCTCGCTCTTGCTTCCATCCCCGCTTCCGCTCTATGTGATCTAAGTATTCACCAATAGATATGACTTGTTAAAACATTATTTAAAATCTCACAAAAATGATTGTCCAAACCCAAAAATATATGTGAATTTTCAATTTTATGGTGAAAATCATGAAAGACACAAGTAATTTCTTGACTAAGTGAAGTTATTGGAGAACTTAATATGGGGTAGTTTTGTTTTCACATGCCAGGCAACCAAAATCTCACATCTTGAGAAGAATTCTATATGGCAAGGAATATAGGAAATAATATGGACTCTATTCTTAGACTTGAAAAAAACTATGTACCCTAAGGAGCCCTTTCTTACTCGTAAGCTCTTTAGTTTGATTGCAGCTAGCATCTCTTTTCTTTTGTTTCTCAAAGTCAAGTTTCTTGCTTACATTACAGCTCTAAGGGCCCCAAAATCCACTTTGTCCATACCCCCAACCCAGCACTAACTAATCGCCCTTACCACCTTCTTATCCTTACTAATATGTCTTTCAATATTTGAATGAACCTTGATGACGTTTTTACCTCAGGAAATATTGCAATTAAAGGAAGCATTCACTCCATCATTCCACGGGCCAATCAACCCCCTCTTCCTAGCACCTAGATTCATTAAGAATTAGTACAACCTCCCAGACTCTAAGTTTGAATGTTTTTCCTTGATAATCAAAGTCCAATGAGGTTGGAATGAAGCAAAAGGCGGACCGGCACTTTTTATCTCCCGCCTAAAGGAGACCTTGATTCCCACCAATATTGATTTGTTCCTCCATTGTCATAGCTTTATGAAAACAGAACTATCTGTGAAACGATTCTCAAACCTGGACATTCCTTCACCATTCGCACAAGTCCCACACAAGAAAATGGTTTTATTGCCTTGAAATGGCTTTAGTTGAATTGTGGCTTTCAGACTAAGATAATGCTCCCCGTATTTCACTCCAATTTGAAATAAACCTCCCCTTAATGCACACAACCACATTAATACAAATCCCTTCCTCTCTAATATTCAATTTATTGCCCATTGAATTCCTCCTCAGCTCATCTTCAACCCTATTCGTAGTAATCCCTCTATGTCTATCAGTAGTTCAACTCATGTCCTTGTTAATTCCCTCCTTATCTAATAACAAAGCAAAATTGGTCCACCCTTTTCCATCCCCTTAGGGCCAATTAGACCAAATCTCCTTCAGCTAGACTGTAATTTTGAGATTCAAATAAAATCCTCTCCACAACTACCAAACCAATACAGCCCAAACACATCACCCTGTATTTCCTAAAAAGCAGTCTCCTATTTTTTCATGCCACTACTTCATAAATGTTTTCCTTTAGCCATTGCACACATTCAAAACCAATCAACAGAACAAAAGAGTCACTTCAACGTTGTAATACGAAACAACTTGGCTAAAGAATTTTCTTTGAGTGACAAAATAAAGAGTTTTTGCTCAATTTTCACAATGAAAATTTTGTGACTTCACCATGAAGATTTTTTGCCCAAAATTTTCATTCTATATCTTGTTTAAATTTAATGCTCAATGTTAACAGGTTTATATTTCAGTTAAAAACATTTATATGGGTATTTTAACCCAAATTTCAACTACATATTTGGTTTTATGAGCTAAGTAGTTAGAAGTCTGATTTTGTAACTAGCCTTTGCAAGTTTTGGGGTTACTAGTCAGTAAGGCTTTTAAGGCCCATAATTGGTAAAGCCCCGCCTTTATAAACAAGCATACCTGACCAAACAAACACATTTCAAATTCTAAGACCTTCCTTGATCCCTGTTTCAACTTCAATTGTTACATACTATTCTCCATATATCATGTTTTACGGGTTACTTAGATTTGAGTCAGCTTCATTCCANTTATAAACAAGCATACCTGACCAAACAAACACATTTCAAATTCTAAGACCTTCCTTGCTCCCAGTTTCAACTTCAATTGTTACATACTATTCTCCATATATCATGTTTTACGGGTTACTTAGATTTGAGTCAGCTTCATTCCAGTCTTCTCATGGGTGTTATCACTATGGGATAACTACTGCAAATATTTGAGTTGGATATTAAAGTTGTTGATGTTTGTCAATACCCTCATGTGAAAAGGCTCAGCTACTTAAGAAGAGTGATTTCACAACTCTCAAAGCATCTCCAACCACTCTCAATAAAATAGCTACTCAAAATATATTTAAATATTGTATTCACTACTTTAGCTATCCACTTTTTAAAATTCACTCCAACCACGCTCTCTATTTTAGCTAACTACTTCAACTAACTTTCAATAATATAATTTAAAAATGTCACGTGGCATAACACGTAAGCGCCATAATGATGACGTGTCGTGCCACGTCATCAAATTTTAAATTTTACAACGGCCATATTTTCAACGGCCATATTTACAACAGCCATATTTTCAACGGCCATATTTANTACTTCAACTAACTTTCAATAATATAATTTAAAAATGTCACGTGGCATAACACGTAAGCGCCATAATGATGACGTGTCGTGCCACGTCATCAAATTTTAAATTTTACAACGGCCATATTTTCAACGGTCATATTTTTGAAAATGTATAAATAAGACCTCCCCCTTGTCATTGTCATATAGCTCAAATTTATTTTACTAGTATTGAACCCATATTTCTTTACTATGAGTTTTTCTTTGAAAATGATTCTTAGTGATTCTGACTCCGATGATGAGTTGGAGATGATAGCAGTTGCTGCTATGGCAATGGAGAAACTCAATACTGAGAATAGCTCTGCAACACGTTGTGGTTCTATTCAAAGCCACTATGTTATTTTTCGCAACTGAGTTANTAAAATGATTCTTAGTGATTCTGACTCCGATGATGAGTTGGAGATGATAGCAGTTGCTGCTATGGCAATGGAGAAACTCAATACTGAGAATAGTTCTGCAACACGTTGTGGTTCTATTCAAAGCCACTATGTTATTTTTCCCAACTGAGTTAAAGGGCATGAGAGACATTATTGTGATTATTTTGATGAATCACCTATCTATCCCCCAAATTTATTTCGAAGGAGATTTCGAATGAATTGATATCCTTTCGTTCATAGTCTATCAATGGTGAAAACTTATGATCCATACTTTGTCCAAAAAAGGGAGGCTGTTAGGAATATTGGCTTGTCCCCCCTTCAAAAGATGACTGCCGCTATAAGAATGCTTGCCCATGGAATTGTAGCAAATGTTGTTGATGATTATTTGAGAATCAGCGAAAGCACCACAATAGAAAGTATGCAAATATTTGTATCGGCCATAGTAGCAATTTATTCTAATGTTGTTAGGAATATTGGCTTGTCTCCCCTTCAAAAGATGACTGCCGCTATAAGAATGCTTGCCCATGGAATTGTAGCAAATGTTGTTGATGATTATTTGAGAATCAGCGAAAGCACCACAATAGAAAGTATGCAAATATTTGTATCGGCCATAGTAGCAATTTATTCTGATGTTGTTAGGAATATTGGCTTGTCTCCCCTTCAAAAGATGACTATCGCTATAAGAATGCTTGCCCATGGAATTGTAGCGGATGTTGTTGATGATTATTTGAGAATCAGCGAAAGCACCACAATAGAAAGTATGCAAAGATTTGTATCGGCCATAGTAGCAATTTATTTTGATAAGTACCTCAGGTCACCAAACAGTGTAGACATTGTTAGATTATTAGGAATCGGTGAGAGACGTGGGTTTTCAGGGATGCTAGGTAGCATTGACGGCATGCATTGGAGATGGAAGAATTGTCCAACAACATGGAAAGGTATGTACTCTGGTCATGTTGATGAACCAACAATTATTTTAGAAGCGGTGACTTCATATGATCTATGAATTTGGCATGCCTTTTTTGGGTTACCTGGATCCCACAATGATATAAATGTCCTAGAAGCTCTTCTGTTTTTACTCTTCTTTCGGAAGGTAAGGCTCCTTCGNCATTGGAGATGGAAGAATTGTCCAACAACATGGAAAGGTATGTACTCTGGTCATGTTCATGAACCAACAATTATTTTAGAAGCGGTGACTTCATATGATCTATGAATTTGGCATGCCTTTTTTGGGTTACCTGGATCCCACAACGATATAAATGTCCTAGAACCTCTTCTGTTTTTACTCTTCTTTCGGAAGGTAAGGCTCCTTCAGTCAATTACTCCGTCAATGGAAACGATTATACTATGGGATATTATCTTGCTGATGGTATATATCCAAAGTGGGCCACGTTTGTCAAAACAATTTCACGTCCAAGAGGCAATAAGCAAATACATTTTGCACAAGCTCAAGAGTCAGCCAGAAAGGATGTTGAGAGAGCTTTTGGAGTGTTCCAAACACAATTTGCTATAGTTCATGGACCTGCACCTTTCTGAAAACTTGAAGTATGGATATTATGAAGGCATGCATAATATTGCATAACATGATTGTCGAGGATGAGAGAGACAGTAATGAAACGGACTTTAGTTATGATGCATCGGATGAAATTCCTACTCCTACATTGATATCCGAACGGAGTTCAGAACTGCTTCAATTTATTCATACTCAACATCGCATTCGAGACAGAGAGACTCATTCGATATTCCAAACTGATCTAGTCAAACACTTGTGGAATATTCGTGGAATGTTTTAGGCAGTAATATGCTACGAATATTTAAACATTCATTGTCTACAAATATTTAAGCATGCATAATATTACAGTACTTGTTTGTTGTACTACTACTCCATCATTTGCTTGAGTTGTACCTTCTCTTGGTGAAGTAATATCCATGTTCATCCTTCAAAAATCAATGAAAGAGAAAATTTTATTTCATGAAATCAAAGAATTACAAGAAACAAAACTAAAACTGTTTGATCCACTAGAGTTTCAGACTAGCTCAGTAAATCTGCCCTCTAATCAAGAACTGGAGCTTCAGACATCCTGCAAATTGCCCCCAAGAGTTGGTTTTAATCCTTTAAGGTGGTGTTTGGATCACCGTGGAAGGATTGGATTGGATTGGATTTGAATCCTAACCCAATGCAATGTGAACCGGATTTGAGGATTATAAAGATGGGATTTAAATCCTATCCCAGCTTTGGATAGGTTTAATTTGTTTTGTGGCCCCATTAACTTGTGAAGATAAAACAAACTAAAATGACCATTTCACCCCTTGTGTAAAATAATGTGATCCAAACTTATACCATGTTTGGAATGGAATGAAAAAAAAAAAAAAAATTCAATCCATTAGTATTGATATTTTTACGACAAAAAATATGAATGAATAAATTACGCATTTTTACAAAATATTGCAATAAATATTTTGTTCATTTATTTAATTTAATTTGTACAATACACGTTTAATCACAAAAAAACATATGCATCATGGGAAAAAAAAAATTCAACACAAAAATAATAGACATATCGATGCAACTCAAGCCTAAGTTGTTATTTATTTATTTCTAGAAAATCCAAAGTTGTGTCTTTAAAAATAAAACTTAATTGTTTATTTTTAATAAATAGTAAAATTAATCTGAACCATATTAAATATTTTCAATGATCAAAATGCAATTTATTATCCAAAATGGTAGAGCATTTTAATAATATTGCATGAATCACTAGCACACATTATGTCAATTTAAAATATGTTGCTTTAATACAAATGTAAATTTTTGTAGATTTCTTGTACAAGGAAACAAATGGATGAGCAACAACTTTTTAAGATCTTAAAATTTTAAAATGTAATGAGACGCAACACCATAGACCAATTATTATTTTTTAATGAAATCCAAACCATTTTATTCAAAGTTGAGGTACATTGAATATTTTCACACACTTACTTTGAAATCATGAGCTTCCATTCTAAAAGAGAGTTATGTGCTAATTTTTTAATAATGAGGGGGAAAAGTGCAAAAAAACCAAACAACTACCGTAATAAGTGAATTTTAAGTTAGTTAAAATCCTCATCTTTCCAGATGGTTCGACTTCTACATCAGACAGGATAAAAGGCAAATACACAGAGAGAGAGAGAAAACAAATGGGTATACATAGAAGCTACTTCCATGGCCAAATCAAGCACTTCAATGGACAGATATGGTCCATCAACAGTTCGAGCATCAACAGATCTAGCATCACCATCGTCCATCAACAGATCGAGCACTTCCAAGGCCAGATCTACTACTTCCATGGACAGATCTGGTCAACAGTGCTACTTCCATGGAGAAGGGGGACCAGTGTGAAAGTGAAAGGGAAGTGGAATGAAGGTAAAAATGTGTGGAGGGTATTTTAGAGTTTAACCATTTAATCTTACTTCTCAATTCAACAATCCCTCACAACAGAAGGGATTGTTGAATCACCTGCAGATGGGATTCTAGGCTTCAAAACCTACGGCCGAGTTTTTCAATCCCACGAGGAGCCCTTTTCAATTTTTTCAACCAAACCAAGGATAAGTGGGCCATTTCACTATTTTAATCCAATCCTACCTTTAATCCCCTTCAATCCTATCAAACAAACACCACCTAAAAGAATTAAAGCTATTAACTCAGCTCATGGGCACAAACCCTTCCAATTTCCTGATACAGTAAACACCATTGCCAGATTAGTGCAAAAAATCCACAGCAAAGCTAATATCTAGGCTGGGTTTTCTCCAAAAATCACGAATGAGTCCATGAGCCATCAGAACCCAAATGAGGTGGTCAGGCCTGAATCCGGATTCAAAGGGCTTCAGAATGCGGCGAAAGGGCTCAGAGCGGCGTTGCTTGATGGCAGTGGATATGGGTGTTCAAATTTTTGATCGGCCGCAAGTTCCTACCCTACCCGACCTACCATATCCTACTGAACGGTTAGCCGCAAAAATCGGGTAGGAATGCAGAAGAGTTTTTGGTTTTCCGACAATATTCGGGTAAGAATGCAGAATAGCCATTCATTTCCGCATTCCTACCCTACCCGCAATAATTTTTTAATATATATATATATATATAAACTAAAAAAACCCTAAACCCTAACCACAGGCGGAGCAATTTTAATTTTAATGTATTTCATATGATTTAAAGTTTAAACTTAAATTAATTGTTATTGTATTTGTGTAACAATTATGATGGATTGATGTTCATATTTTCTTGTGTTTTATTATAATTCTTGTTGTAGTTGTTTTACATTTTAGTGTTAATTAATTTATTGTGTTGTTAAATTGATGCATGTTATTTAATTAAATTGTTAAAAAGATCCAAAAATTAATTATTACAAAAATATTTATCCGACTTCCTACCCGATTAATCGGGTAGGGTAGACCAAGAAAAAAAAAATTCGCAAAATATCGGGTAGGAAGACGGAATAACATATTTCCTACCCGTAGGGTAGGGTGAACACCCCTAGCGGTGGAGATGTTATAGACAAGCTCAGAGTCTCTAGTGCTAGGTTTCTTTGGAGAATAATCAGGAAATGGTCTGGCACTGATTGAGCCAAACGAGGATAGCTTTCTAACACAATTATTTCAAGAAACAACAAGGTTGTATAACTCTACAAGAGAAGTCCACTGGCATCTTCCAAAAAGCAGCTATCCACATCAAATTCAATGATCTATTCATAGGTCGAGAAAATGAACTAAACTAACTTCAACCAGCATTATCAGTACTTTACTTAATACGAATCCTCAAGAAACAGATGTCTGTGTTCTGAGATTCCAGAGAAGAACCAAAGTGGGAACTTTAGCACCTGATAATGATGAAACAATAGTTGCAAAAGCTATGATAAAAGCTCAAATGTGTAGTTCCCAGGTTAATCCAACCCATAACGGCAATGACACCTGTTTCATCAATTGACCTTCAATCATATTTGAATCTCCAACCAATGCACATACCCACAACTAGCTATCTTATCATTTATCTATATCCGACTAGTTGGTTTTCAAAAATTTTACTTGCCAAAATTCTAATGATTTTTGATTGGATCGATAAAAACTATGTTAGACATCAAGAATTCACTCTATAAAACAATTATACCCAATAACTATAACTCATATCTCCGAATTTTTGGGAACAACAAAAACCCTTTTCGTTATAACAACTTAAACGCTGATAAATGCTTGCCCAGTGATTCAATTCCATTAAACCAACTTGTTTCACGCATTGTATCAAACATACGCAGGGCATTCTCAATCTAATACATTGAGCACTTAAAATTAAACAATGTCTAAAGGGACAACAAGCATTTTGGATAAAACAGCTACTAAAGTCATTTTATATTATCCAATAATTTTCTTTCGATAATGAAACCACCTGTTGGGATGCAATAATCTAGCAGAAGAGCAAAACCCATTATTTGATAAAGAAAAACAAAAGCTAATAACCATAGGGAAAGAGCTTTACCCCTGAAGGCGTTGGCGATGGAGAAGAGCAGAGGGAAGGGAATCGGTGGCAACCTGAACATCGATGGCATCCGCTTGGCTTGGCTGTGCGTCAGGGGGGAAAGATATGGTAAAAAGAAGAAGTAGAGAGAAGGGCTGAGGTGCTCATAGAAAGCCAAAAACAGAGATTATCTTTGAAACTTCAATGCCTGATCTGGCTAGGATGAAGGAGGAAATGGAAGGAACATGTGCAGAAATAGAGGTAAGGCAGCAACTAGCGAGCTGGTAAACCCTCACCAGATCTGGCAAGCAAAAAAGCCCTCAGCTATTTGGCGAGCTAGCTAGAGCATTGGAGCCTGGGATTTGGAATTTGCTTGCTAAAATGGTGTAGAGGAAGCAATTGGCGAGAGCGTTGGAGATGCTCTCATACTCAAAGGCCCATTAATGTCAATGTATTTATGCTGCAAACTATTATACACAGTATAGGCTTTATATCTGGTTTTAATCGTCATTGAATCGCATACTAAACAATCACTATTTTAGCTCATGTTCAAGTGGTGTTCACATTCTTGTTGCTAATTATGTAACTTTGGAAATTCGGTTACTTTATTTCAGTTGCATTTTATGATGGATAAAGTTAAAAAGAATACATAATCCGAAAAAAATTTCAACCACTCTGTTTAGCGGTAGGAGGGTGGACTTTCCTCCTTTTACATCTAGTTTGAAACTTTGATGTTGATTGTATCCCACTTAGATATAAACGAGTATTCTGGTTTTTAAAAGATGAATGGACTACTTTGAGCATAACATGCGTATACAAGTTTGCTTTTACATACTTGAACAATTCAAATCAAAATAAAATTTAGGTTAATCATGCTGTAACAGATACTATGCCTCATCAAAAGACCAGATTCAATAGTTTTTCCAACATAATGATGTCAAAAAAAATATAAATGAAAACTGACCTGAAGGACACGACAGGGCCAACCTCCTCACAGATTTGTACGAGCTGTTCCTCAGTGGCATCATATGGTATGTTCCCAACTATCACCCAAAATAAACGAAAAACCAACAGCACAAAACAAATCCAGATAAAGCCACCCAGCAGAATATCATATCATAAATTCCATTCTGAATCTTATTATTACTACATACATTCAATCTATCACCAAAAAAGTCTTCGTCGTATAACAAATTAGAGTTGAATTCAACACATAATCAGCAAAGTAATTACATCTAAATGAATTCGAAATTGAAAGAGAGAAGTCGTGAACAAACCGAACACACAGCGATGCCCAGAACTACTGGCCATCAAATATGTCTACTTCTTTATCTTTCATAAGAAGGTGAAGCTGATGATGAGGTTCAGCTTCATCTTCTTCCTCCCATNACTACTGGCCATCAAATATGTCTACTTCTTTATCTTTCATAAGAAGGTGAAGCTGATGATGAGGTTCAGCTTCATCTTCTTCCTCCCATGCATCCTCACTGCTCTTCTTCGCTTCGTCGCCGTATTCTATTCTATTCTTTTCTTGCCGCAGTTGTCGTCGGACGCATTTCTCTTCGCTCGGTCGGGTTGTGTTGAGTCTTGGGTCTACCGACTTCACGCCGCCTGGTCCGGCTTCAACGAGCCCAATAAGGGCACGAACAGATTTTTGGGCCATACAAGACCCACATTAACTATAGGGCAAATAGCAGTTTGTACCCTGAAAGATTAAAAAAANTAAGGGCACGAACAGATTTTTGGGCCATACAAGACCCACATTAACTATAGGGCAAATAGCAGTTTGTACCCTGAAAGATTAAAAAAATTTAATTTACACTCTTAAAAATCAATTATTTTAAATTACACCTTCGATAAAATTAAGTGGTTATGTGACCTAAACCATAACGTCCGTTGTGATATATGTCAGATTGACGGTCATGTGAGACGGGCGTAATGGCTTTTTGTTGGATTATGGCCTTTCTCTTTATTTTGTTGGTTATAGTCCTTTCTCTTTTCACGTATGTCTAACGTGTCTGTCAATTTGATAAAAATTATAACGGACAATATGGCAGGGTCAAATTGCCACTAATTAATTTAATTGAACATGCAATTTGAAATATTGACCTTTGAGGGTATAAATTGAAAAGTTTATAATCTTTCAGGATATAAATTATCATTTTACATGTATTCCCTTTGTATCTTCATCAAAAAACTATAGGATATGTTTAGTTTACATTTCAAAAAAAAATATCCGAAAATAATTTCTGAGAAGAGTTTTAAGAAAATGTGTTTTTATATTTTCTAAGAAGAAGAACTTGTTTGGTTAAATGATTTCAAAAATAATTTTACATAACATNCATGTATTCCCTTTGTATCTTCATCAAAAAACTATAGGATATGTTTAGTTTACATTTAAAAAAAAAAAATCCGAAAATAATTTCTGAGAAGAGTTTTAAGAAAATGTGTTTTTATATTTTCTAAGAAGAAGAACTTGTTTGGTTATATGATTTCAAAAATAATTTTACATAACAGAAAATAATAAAATATGTTTTGACAATCTAAATATATGTTTGGGCAGTAATTCAAAAATTAATAAAAAAATATAATAAAGTTATTTTTAGATTGATAATTTTATAACAAAAATTCAATAAATTAAACTTTAAAATACACCAAACATATTCAATAATATTCATCAAAAATAAAATTAATATAAAAATATATCAATGGTCTTCATCTGAAATAAAACTAAACAAATTTAATAGAAAAAATATACAAACACCAATAATTTAAAAAAATTATAATAATAATAACACTGAAGAACACTCACACCATCACACAAAATATATATATATATATATATATATATATATATATATATGTACACACACAGCCCATGAAACAACACACACACACACACACATATATATATATATATATATAATCTATACTACTTATAAATGTCAGTGAAAAATTTTTGATTTCTNAATATAATAAAGTTATTTTTAGATTGATAATTTTATAACAAAAATTCAATAAATTAAACTTTAAAATAAACCAACATATTCAATAATCTTCATCAAAAATAAAATTAATATAAAAAATATATCAATGGTCTTCATCTGAAATAAAACTAAACAAATTTAATAGAAAAAATATACAAACACCAATAATTTAAAAAAATTATAATAATAATAACACTGAAGAACACTCACACCATCACACAAAATATATATATATATATATATATATGTGTGTGTGTACACACACACACAATTCACACACACATCGCCCATGAAACAACACACACACACACACATATATATATATAATCTATACTACTTATAAATGTCAGTGAAAAATTTTTGATTTCCTATTTCACCTTAATTATTACCATAAAACCAATTATACCCACATATTTTCCTGTCTTGCATACCTACTTGACTTCCAAAATATTAACTAGGTAAATTTTATCTCTATGACTTGGTAGATAAACTTTGTTAAAATATTACGTAGATAAATTTTATCAAAATATTAGTTATATAAACTTTTATCTCTATGACTTGATAGATAAAACTTTATCTCTATGACAATATATTGCTTTTTTTTCATTCAATTGTACAAACTCTACTAGAATTCTAATACCACATATTGGTAATTTTTAGATGATACATATATATATATAAACTTTATTTCTATGACAATACATTCTTTTTTTGTCATTCAATTGTACAAACTCNCTTCCAAAATATTAACTAGGTAAATTTTATCTCTATGACTTGGTAGATAAACTTTGTCAAAATATTACGTAGATAAACTTTATCAAAATATTAGTTATATAAATTTTTATCTCTATGACTTGATAGATAAAACTTTATCTCTATGACAATATATTGCTTTTTTTTCATTCAATTGTACAAACTCTATTAGAATTCTAATACCACATATTGGTAATTTTTAGATGATACATATATATATAAACTTTATTTCTATGACAATACATTCTTTTTTTGTCATTCAATTGTACAAACTCTACTAGAATTCTAATATCATATATTGGTAATTTTTAGGTGATATATATGCATATATTTTTTTGTCTTTCCTACTTAATAGACTTCTAAAATATTTTGAATTCCTTTATATATATATAACTAGATAGGATTCTAATATCATATGGGATCAAACTTTCCAGTAAAGTTATCGAACAAGTTTTTTCTTCCATTCACGTTAGAGTTAGAAGTTAGCCTGCCATAGTCATCTATTTGAAGTCATATGGTCTCATGCTCTTCTGTGACAAACTCAATGAAGTCGAAGTTGGAGTTTTCGACATAATTGAGGTTAGTTTATTAATTCTTTTGTTTTAGTTTATTAATTCTTATGTTTAAGTTAATTCTTATGTTCTGNTTAGAAGTTAGCCTGCCATAGTCATCTATTTGAAGTCATATGGTCTCATGCTCTTCTATGACAAACTCAATGAAGTCGAAGTTGGAGTTTTCGACATAATTGAGGTTAATTTATTAATTCTTTTGTTTTAGTTTATTAATTCTTATGTTTAAGTTAATTCTTATGTTCTGTGGCATTTAATTTTTCTTAATTTAATGTCAAGAAGCATTATAAGAGATTGATTGTGGCAAGTCAAGAATTAGACATAATAATTGATGTTAGTTTATTAATTCTTATGTTTTAGTTTATTAAATTGGTGTAACAGGTCAAATATTCGACATAATTGAGGTTAGTTTATTAATTCCTATGTTTACATTAAAATTTTATATGTTAGTGTTTCTTTATTTTATTACAACCTCTCGTGAATCTAATTTTTCATTGCTCATATAGCTAATATTTTAAAAGTTTGTTCAAATCTCCTATAATATTGACCTAATTATTCTTAATTTTTGAATTGATGGTAAATTCCAACATTTATTGAGACCAACAATCAATCCAATAATATCATTTATTGGNACCTAATTATTCTTAATTTTTGAATTGATGGTAAATTCCAACATTTATTGAGACCAATAATCAATCCAATAATATCATTTATTGGCTGAAATTTATCAAATTTTGAGGTTAAAAGATTAAGTGTCTTTTTTCTTGGTATTTTAATTATTCACTTACTTTTACAACATCAATTCAATTTTATTACTCATCAACTTTGTATTTTAAATAAATTTAATAACAAATTAATGAACTAAATTTTTTTCATGTGCAACGCAAGTGTGTATTGCTAGTATATATATATATATATCACACGCACGCCACCCAGAAAACACACACCCATCACTCTCACAGAATTCACACACACGTCACCCAAAAAACACACACCCATCACCCAAGAAACATACACAATATATATATATACAAACACACATAGAACTGTGTATATGTATAGATCTGAACACAAATCTATACATATACATCGATTTGCTAGATTTAAATTTGTTGGATTTGGGAGAAGAGAGTTGTGAGAAGAGAGAGAGGAGAGTTATGTTGATCGTCAACCTTTGGTGTCGATGGAGCCCAATTGGTTGTCTGTGTCCTGAAGGAGAAGGCGTTTCTCCTTTTCTGAAGGAGAAGGCCAAAGGAGTAGGCGATTTGGGGAGGAGAAGGCATTGTTGATTTAGGGGTTTTTATACTTTAAATATTAAGGGCATATTTTGCAGCTAACATGATTCAAATGTGGGATCTTATTAGTTGGACCTCTTGCTATCCATGTTTTTTTTTTTTTTTTTCTGGGAACTGTTCCCAAATTGGCTGAAAACAAGCTAGCCTTGTTTTTCATTTCCTGATCTTTACATCCCTATTTTTCTAGAAATTAGAGAACAAAGAACCAAACTAAACAACTTCTTCTTGTTTTTCAAAATTTTGAGAACAAAAAATTGGTTTCAAAAATCACACCAAACAACCCTATAATGTCTTTGTTGGTCAATTTTGATAAAAAAAGAGTGATTTAAGAAGAAAATCATTTAATCCCAATATACATGCCAATTTGTTAAATCATATTTTGTAATTGGCTAATTTCGAGGTGTTCATTATAAATCTCAACATTTTCTATGGTCATGATACTATAAAGATTAAAGATTCGGAAGCGACATTAAAGGAAGGAGATCAAGCATCAAAATTGTATCATTCACACTCTAAATGCACCTTTTAGCTTAAGACAAAGATAATGACCTAGATATCTAATATGAACCCTTAATTACTTAACTCAAGAGGATTATGATTAAATGGAATTGGAAACAATCCGTTTATGGCTCCTAGGTGTACTTCAAAGAAAAGATTTTTCAAATCTATTTTTTTATTTTTTAAAACATCGATTGAGTCATTATCAAAACCCTCTTAAGCAACACCCTTTAATGCTCAAGAAGATAAGTTTTTTGTTTAGTTTTATGCTTAAAATTTAATAGGGACCAATATATACTCACTAGCCTTCATTAGAGCAATCTCTTGATAACTTAGGAAAGTCAAAAGGGAAAAGGTCACAGAGGAGGACATTGACCTCGCTCGAGCGGTCTCATAGTCACTCGAACAGTTTGCCTCTCCTTGTCAGGTTTGAAACGTGATTTTCATTCTAGTAACAACCACCCTATGACCGTCCTCTCATGGATCAAGCTGTTGTTCATGAATCTAAGTTTTTTTTTCAACTAAGATTACCTTATTCTGGACCTATAAATATAGAGTGTC